CTGCAAAGTGACCCCATTTAAGCTATGGACTAGAAGCAAGGATGTGGGAGAACACCCACATAGGGCGATCTCCCCTCCCCCCAAGGATAAGCTTCAGTGGTAGGTAATTTTTATGGGGCCTCAAGGCTCTGTTTGCAGCTATCAGTCTACTTCAAAATCATCTGGGGCTGGGGTGGGGTGGAGACTTAGAAGAATGAGATTCCCTTCCTGTTGATGGTTTCTGAAACTGGGTAATGGCTATGGTAGGGGCTTGCTACACTACCCTCTCTATTTTTGTTCATTTTATAATATATGGGCCATATATAAAAAGAATAATGATAGCTAAGATCTTAAGAAACAATTGTTTCTAACCAAAATGATTACATATACCTCAACCCTGCCTCGTCCTTTGAGATAATCCTCAAGCTACCAAATCAGACTCAATAGTAAGTTTGGGACTGGGCTGTCTCCCCTGGAATAGCTGCTTTCATTTAAGAAATTTAGCCCTAAATAGTGCTGGGGCTTGACATAGAACCACATTCTTGCTTTAGCTTTAGGGGATAAGAACCCTAATGAGGTACAATGTTAGGGTCTCAAAGATAGGCAAAACCATCACAGAGGACATCAGAAACACCAGTGATAGCCAGAATGGCCCCAGAGTATATGTAATCCCTCAACTTATTTCTGGAGCCTTTTGGAGAGTCACTCAAAATTTGTCATCCGAGGATACAGGGGAGGGGCATTTTAGAAGAGTCCTTTCTCAGAAATGAATGGCTGTTTTCCTCTCTGTTTCTCTAATCTCTACTTCTCAATCAGGCCCAGTACAAGCCCCTGTTTCTTATTGCCTTAAAAAGAATTGCTTTGCTTTGCTCTGGTTCCTGTAGAACTCGTTTGAAGGGAAAACGACCTGCACAGATGAGAGCCTATTTATAGTCTTTATTGATCCTCTTGGTGTGAAGATTCATATTGTGTTGCTGAAACCCTGAAGTGTTTGATTACAGGGTGCTGCCCTGAACCTTGCTGGGGGATATTAATGCTGTTGTGTCTCATAGCACTATATTAAATTAAAATTAGAAGCAAAAGCCTCAGGTCCAAACCAGTTTGGCCTCAAGGTTTTACATGAGAGCCCTGGGCCTGGATTATTTCTGTAAAAGCAAAACAAAACAAAAAATCAAATCAAAACAAAACCCAAAACATTTCATCCTACTTCAAAAGCCAGACATGTTACAGACAGATCACACAGGTAGAGCAGGATCCTAGCATGCAGGATGCAGAGTTCCACACATCATACTGTGCATTTACACACACACACACACACACACACACACACACACACACACAAATGTGTTGGGCATGACCATGCACACAGGCAGTGACCCTCAGCTGTGCAGGAAATCCTTTCCCTATTTCCAAGACCATTTGTCTCCCAGGCTCCTCCATGACCACTGATACAGCATCAACCCTTCAGGGAAAGCAGGGCTATCAAGTCAAGAACCCCTTAAATGACAAGAAAAAGCTGGATGTACAGATCTGCTTGCACCTGTTCTCCCTCTCCCTCCCTCCCCCCTCTCTCATTTCTAATGAGTAGTTCAAAGGGCTCTTGTGGAAGTGGAAGACGGCTCCACTCCCCCATTACTACAACCCTGCCCCCACAACACCTGTCCTGCACACATCATCCCTGTGTACACCTGTCCTGCACACATCATCCCTGTGTACACCTCTCCTGTGTACATCATCCCTGTGTACACCTGTCCTGCACACATCATCCCTGTGTACACCTCTCCTGTGTACATCATCCCTGTGTACACCTCTCCTGCACACATCATCCCTGTGTACACCTCTCCTGTGTACATCATCCCTGTGTACACCTCTCCTGCACACATCATCCCTCTGTACACCTCTCCTGCACACATCATCCCTGTGTACACCTGTCCTGCACACATCATCCCTGTGTACACCTGTCCTGCACACATCATCCCTGTGTACACCTGTCCTGCACACATCATCCCTGTGTACACCTGTCCTGCACACATCATCCCTGTGTACACCTGTCCTGCACACATCATCCCTGTGTACACCTGTCCTGCACACATCATCCCTGTGTACACCTGCCCTGCACACATCATCCCTGTGTACACCTCTCCTGTGTACATCATCCCTCTGTACACCTCTCCTGTGTACATCATCCCTCTGTACACCTCTCCTGTGTACATCATCCCTCTGTACACCTCTCCTGCACACATCATCCCTGTGTACACCTGTCCTGCACACATCATCCCTCTGTACATCTCTCCTGTGTACATCATCCCTCTGTACACCTCTCCTGCACACATCATCCCTGTGTACACCTCTCCTGTGTACATCATCCCTGTGTACACCTCTCCTGTGTACATCATCCCTGTGTACACCTCTCCTGCACACATCATCCCTGTGTACACCTGTTCTGCACACATCATCCCTGTGTACACCTGTCCTGCACACATCATCCCTGTGTACACCTCTCCTGTGTACATCATCCCTCTGTACACCTCTCCTGTGTACATCATCCCTCTGTACACCTCTCCTGTGTACATCATCCCTCTGTACACCTCTCCTGCACACATCATCCCTGTGTACACCTCTCCTGTGTACATCATCCCTGTGTACACCTCTCCTGTGTACATCATCCCTGTGTACACCTCTCCTGCACACATCATCCCTCTGTACACCTCTCCTGCACACATCATCCCTGTGTACACCTGTCCTGCACACATCATCCCTGTGTACACCTCTCCTGCACACATCATCCCTGTGTACACCTCTCCTGTGTACATCATCCATCTCTACACCTCTCCTGCACACATCATCCCTGTGTACGCCTCTCCTGTGTACATCATCCCTCTGTACACCTCTCCTGTGTACATCATCCCTGTGTACACCTCTCCTGTGTACATCATCCCTCTGTACATCTCTCCTGCACACAGCATCCATCTGTACCACCCCCTTGCTTGCTTCACCTGCACCCCTACCTGTGCCAACACAGTTATACTTCACCAGATTGTGTGTAGGGAAAAGGGACCAGTCAAAGTAACATACCCTGATCAGAGCCAAAGAAACACTTTGGCCCTGCAACTAGAACCAAAGAAATGTACCCTGACCCTAAAACCAGTGCCAAAGAACACACTTTGTCCCTGGAATCAGAGTCAGTGAAAGAAATGCACCTTGGCCCTAAAATTGGAGCCAAAAGGCTAAAAAGGACCAGAGAAAGAAACACACTTAGGCCCTGAAACCAGAGCCAAATCTGATCTTAATCCTATGTAGAAAAGTAACCAATCCTCAAGCAGATCTAGCCAATCTAAGTTCAGCACTGAAATTGGACCAATCCCTACCCTGGAAAAACTTCCCTGCCCCCAAGAATCCCTATATAAACCCTGTGTATGTTCAGCTTGGCTGGTCCAGCTGCCTTCCAATAAACCCCTTTGGGTGAGCTTTGGGTAAAGATCTTTTGCAGTGGCGATGGAACGATGGAGCATAGGCGACCCTGGGCAGAGCAGAGCAGAGCGAGCAGGGCTGTAACACTTGCCCGGGAAGCCTTCCCTTGGCAGAGCGGAGTTGTTACACTCCACTCCCCGCTCTCCGCTCTCCGCTCTCCAGGAGCAGAGCTGAACTCTAGCAACTTCGCCCAAGAAACCTCCTACACTAGGTGAACAACCCCAGCTGGAAGACCCTGTCCTGCCTGAGTGGAGCCGATACACCAGGGAAGCCTTTCTCTGAGGCAAGGCTGTAAGCTGCTAAGCTTACTGCAACCTGTGGTGGTCCTTGGCTCCCGAGCTCCAGGATACCTTTCCACCTGAGCTGTGTAACACTCAGTATTCTGTGACTCCCGAGTGCCAGAATACCTGACCCACTCCTGTTCCATCCTGTCCCGACCCATCCCGATAGCCTACATTGTGTAACCACCTTAGGCACTTCCATGTCCCTATATGTCACCCTATGCTCACACTGATCCTTTTCCACAATAGTCTTCTCACCTCTGCTGTCACTGGTCAGATGGTCAGCTTGAGGATCTCCTCCCCTAGGCAGCATCCCTCATCTCCTGATCCTCTTGTCACAGATGTTCTGAGCTCTGAATGCCTGACTGTCTCAGCCTTTGCCATATTTGTAATTTATTATCTGTTGGTGGGATCAGTTTACCAAAGTCCATCTCTCCAACTAGACCATAAATTGCAAGGATGCTGGAACCCTGCCTTTTTCATTCCCCTTGGCTCCCACCTTAAGGAATAAAGAGCGAAAGGAATTTTTATTTGAAAAGGGCTTTGGAAATAACTCCATGCCACCCAAATGCTCTTCTAGTTAAGCCTCCTGTGTAAGCACTCAACATGTTTAAATTTTGAGGTTGATACCCTTATCTGTATCGCAACAACTTTGCCACAAGCAAGTCCAAAGTATCAAGAGAAGAAAGACAAGATGTTCAACTGCTTGTACTAAGAGAATGCATGTGTTGCCTTTATTGCCAGGAGAGAGAGAGAGAGAGAGAGAGAGAGAGAGAGAGAGAGAGAGAGAGAGAGAGAGAGAGAGAGAGAGTCTTTATTGCAAGTGCTAAGAGGTCTCTCTCTTGTAGGAGGAAACAGTCATATATACAGGCTTACAGCACAGTGGAAAAACCCTAGGTGGAAGAGAGCGTATTTTCCTCGTGCTAGATGTTGATGTCAGTGGGGCAATGCAGGGGCAGTAAGCCAGGACTAGAAAACAGGATGCACCTGTGGCTATCAGCTGACAAACAACTCAGAGACCCTGTGGGGGCTAGGCCCCAACAGTTAAGCGTCCTGTGTAAGCACTGAACATGTTTAAATTTTGAGGTTGATGCCCTCATCAGTCCTTTGTACTTGAGGAAGCGAGGTAGGTGAATTGCCCAGAATCTCCCAGCCACAGCTCCTTAATTCCAGGTCATTAGATGCTGAGGAACGGTTGGGAATGGTGGAAACATGAGTAAAACCATCACCTCTTTGTCCCTTTCTTTGCTCTTGTGGTCATCCCCATAGCTGGACAAGATGCTGGACCCCCAGGTGTGGCGGGAGGCAGCCACACAGGTCTTCTTCGCCCTGGGACTGGGCTTTGGAGGTGTCATCGCTTTTTCCAGCTACAACAAACAGGACAATAACTGCCACTTCGATGCTGCCCTGGTGTCCTTCATCAACTTCTTCACCTCCGTGTTGGCCACCCTCGTGGTGTTTGCTGTGCTGGGCTTCAAAGCCAACATCATGAATGAGAAGTGTGTGGTCGAGTAGGTGGCATGGCCCCTCTGATCCCTCCTTTCCTTGCCTGCCTCTCCCAGGGGTAGCAGCTGGGCCGGGCAGGACAAGAGGTCCCCTCCATCCCATAAAGAATGAGATCATCATCTTCCTCAGCCCTGACCCACAAGAACCGGCTCCTGGAAGTCTCTGTCGGTGGCCCATGGGTGCCCTATTTGGGTTCCGGGGAGGCGCTTCGGGTCCCACCTCTACTTTCTTACCTGGCCCTGTCTTCTTTGCAATGCAGGAATGCTGAGAAAATTCTAGGGTACCTCAACTCCAATGTCTTGAGCCGGGACCTCATTCCACCCCATGTCAACTTCTCACACCTGACCACCAAGGACTACTCAGAGATGTACAACGTCATCATGACTGTTAAGGAAAAACAGTTCCCAGCCTTGGGCCTGGATCCCTGCCTCCTGGAGGATGAGCTGGACAAGGTACCTGGACAGACTGCCCTTCTCAGGACAGACAGGAACCCGAAGACAGGCTTGGTGGTTGGAGCTTGGGAACAGGCCTTGAAAGCCCATAGAACAGTGGTTCTCAACCTTCCTAATGCTGTGACCCTTTAATACAGTCCCTCATGTTGTGGTGACCCCCAACCATAAAATTATTTCATTGCTACTTTGTAATTGTAGTTTTGTTACTGTTGTGAATTATAATTTAAGTATCTGACTTGCAGGATATCTTATGTGACCCCTTTGAAAAGGTCATTCGACCTCCGAAGGTCATTCGACCCACAGGTTGAGAACCACTGCCATAGAGGCATTCATTTGCTGACAAATGAAGATTCACTATGTGTCCAGATGGAGAAAGTCTGAAAGCGTCAGCCAGAGCCGCCCAGAGGGAAGCTTATGATTAGGTGAAGGGCCAGAGGAGACACTGGAACCACGGGAGCCCTTGGCAGTCTGAGTCAGGTTTCCCATTTGTTGAGCAGGCTTCCTACACACAGGGCTCTGTGTATACAGTGCACTTAGAATGGCACCTGTCCAACAGGTAAATGCTGGTGCCCTTTAACTCCCATTTCCTTTGACTCACTCTATGAGTGAGTATGAATATTGTTCCCAGTTTTATCAATAAGCAGCCTGTAAGTTTAAGGGGCTTGATCAGCATCTCACAGCTACTTAGTGAGCAAGCAAATAAAAAAAACAACAAAAAACCACCACCAACAACAAAAAACCCAGCATTCTTGTTCCAGCGTCCTTGTTCTTCATCCCTTGAAACCCCTGCCCTCCCCAGCGGCCTCCACGTCCACGGTCACAATGACACTTAGCTCCTGGGCTAGAGCAAGTGTCTGCCTCCTCCTTAATGCTCAAGTTGAGGTGGGGACAACTTTCTCATGTTTGCATCTGGACCTCTGGGCACTTTCAAAATGATTGCTCTGCTACAGTGCTAACAGGAAGCAATCCACAGACCCTGGGACTCTGTCTAGAGCCAAGGCTCATGTTGGGGTTAGCAAACCCCGTTATCACCTGAGCTTCTCCAGAAGCTTCCCATAGAAAAGTCTGAGCACCATGTCAAAGGCTGCCCCATTGCGTGGAGACGTAGTTTTGTTGGTAGAGTGCTTGTCAGGCATCCGTGTAGCCCTGGGTTTGAGTCTATGCACTTAAAAAAAAGGATTAACAGAAGAAAAGCATAAAGACAGCTTCACTGGTTGGTGGGAGCTGCATCCTACCATCTCTGGCTTCCCTCCCATGGCCAGAACAAAGGACCCTAACTGGCAGATCCCTGGCAGCACACTCTCCTACCGTGTCCCATGAAACCCTTCTAACAGGCATGAAAAATCTAGGAATGCAGCTGGGTCTTCACTCAAGGCAACCTCAAGAGTATCTAAATAACAACTGAAAAGTCAGGTGGGGCCATGTGTCTCGTCAATGTCACGGGACAGTCATAAGTGATGTGGGCCTGTGAGGAGGGGCTCTGTATTAAAGCAATGGCTCCCTTCTTGGGCTGTCCATGAGACCCCCTAATAGCGTTATAAAAATCTCATACCAGCTTAACCGTAGGCCAATGAAGTCATGGTCTCTGCAGGAGAGCCTGACTCGGGTGAGTACTTCAAGGCTCTATTTGCTTGCATTGGGCAAGAGTCTGGGTGTATTGTATTAAGGTCTGGAGTTCAGCAGTGGGAGTGGTCATTGTGGTTGCAACAAAGATGATGTCTTTGAAGATTAGAGTCTTACATTGTGTGTTTCTAGATGGAAACATCTTCAGTTGGATCACTGAGGTCCTGAAGCAACCTGTAGATTCTAGGTCCCCCAGGGAAACTCACTGGAACTTTTTTATTTATCTAATATTTTGGTTTGGTTTGATTGCTTTGAGACAGTCTGAATCTGTAGTCCAGGTTAGCCTGAAACTCAGTGTGAACTCCAGGGAGACCTTGAGCTCATGACAGTCCTCCTGCTTCAGCCTCCTGAGTGCTGGAATTACAGGTGGGAGTCACTACGGCTAACTTCTCCGGGGAGACTGGTGCTCACTAAGGTTTGAGATGAAAGAGTTCAAGTGGCAATGGGGATCCCCATGAAAGAGGGGGCAGTGATTTCCATTCCTTAGGAGGGAAGGAAGCAGGGGACTTCAGGAGTAAGAGTGGCTCCCACTCTCTGCCCCACCCTTAGTCTGTGCAGGGCACAGGCCTGGCCTTCATCGCCTTCACTGAGGCCATGACACATTTCCCGGCCTCCCCCTTCTGGTCTGTCATGTTCTTCCTGATGCTCATCAACCTGGGCTTGGGCAGCATGATCGGGACCATGGCAGGAATCACCACGCCTATCATCGACACCTTCAAGGTGCCCAAGGAGATCTTTACAGGTAACTAACTCCCTGTCACCCTACCAGACACCAGTCCAGCATGTGCATGCCAATAAGGTTCTGAATTGATTAGGCAATTCAGCACCCCATCTGCAGAAGGCTCTTCTCTCTGACTGTAGACAGTTGGACCTAGATGTACCATTCAGCTACCCACACTGTCAGGATGCCCGGCTACCTCTACCCTGCACCCCTGGGGTGTAGGAGTAGGGTAGTGTATCTTCCTACTTTCAATTGGGAAAACTAAGGTTTCCTGGGAAAGAATCATAGGACCAATCAGTTGAATTATCTCAATTCAATTCAGTATTTAAGTGGAGCAGCTGTCTTGAGCCTGGTGCTGTGCCAGGAGTGGGGAGAAAATACAGTTTATGTCTTCCTCAAAAGTCTCCTGCCTGATACAGGGGGAGTTCAGAACCTCAGTTTCCAGCACTCTCCTCCAGGGCTGTGCCTATGGATTGTAGAGTGGGCAGACTTCAGGCCTGCTTAGGAGCAGTGCGATGGGAGGCAGCTGGGTCCCCCAAGGCCCCCAGGTCCCGCCCACCCTGCACCTTTGCCCCCACACCGGCCTCTCGGCTCTCTGTAGTGGGCTGCTGTGTCTTTGCATTCCTCGTGGGGCTGTTGTTCGTCCAGCGCTCCGGGAACTATTTTGTCACCATGTTTGATGACTACTCGGCCACCCTGCCACTCACCGTCATCGTCATCCTTGAGAACATCGCTGTGGCCTGGATTTATGGAACCAAGAAGTAAGGAGGTCACAGAGGAGTGGTGGGGTCAGGTGGGGGTGTTTCTTTCCTGTAAGGATTTTCGGGGGAGTCCTGTGTTCTCATGGCTGTTTGGGAAAGTGGCAAGAGATTATAGACCATCAGAGCTAAAGGGCCTGTTGGCACCAGGAAGCTGAGGTCTATAAAGAGGACATGAATATTTGAGGCTACTTGGCTACTAAGAGACAGAGCCGTCCTGGGGATCTTGGGAATCCTGGGTTCAGGGCCTGATGTCAGCCTAAAGGATTGTCTACAGCAGCCCCGTTTGCTGAATGTCAGTCCTTTGATGTCCACCAGACTTGTTTAGCATTTGGTTGGGATTCCAGGGCCCCACCCTCAAGGAGTTGGTAGACCTCAGGCACCTGATTCATAATTTTAAGGTGTGGTTTTTGGCCTCAAGTTTAGATTTTATGGGGAAAGAGGATTTAGCAGTAAGGTCAGATCTGGTTTTGCGGCCTGACCCGGAGGCAGATCTCCACTTACTATTAGCTATTTATGGTCAAATCTGCGTCCCCAGGACTTCCTGGCCTGCCATCTGCGTCCCCAGGACTTCCTGGACTGCCATCTGCGTCCCCAGGACTTCCTGGACTGCCACCTTTCTACTTTCTTACTATTTAGTGTGTCCACTGTTCTTGTCCTCAGAGGAACCTAGGCCTTCCACTACCTAGCTCAGCCTGACCCTCCTTGATGTCCAGATGGGTTTGGAATCCAGTATCTCTAACAGAGGACATTTGCTTCCTGGGAGGGCACAGGAGGAGGGCCAGAAAGCCTAAGAAAAGAAGCACTCAAGACAGGCGTGATGACAAATGCCTATTATTCCATCACATGTGAGATTGAGACAGGATTGCCATGAGTTCAAAGCCAGCCTGGGCTATATAGTAAGCTCCTGTCTGGAAAAACAACTGCAAAAGGGAAGGCAGGAAGCGAATATGGGAAGGAGAGATGAAGAAAAGAAGGGAAGGGGGCTCCATGTCCCCCCCATGAGCCTGGGCTGGAAGGCTCTGCTGGAAGGCTCTGACTATGGATGCTGTGGACTCCTGTGCAGTTCGTGGAAGCCCTTGTGCTTGTTCTCATAGTATTACTTTTAAATGCATATGATAAACGATCCATACCTAATTTATACAGAAAACTAATTGTACTGAAAACTGATGGAGTATTGTTTAGTGCGGTTTAATGTGTACTCTATTTTTACCATAATAAGTCGTGGGTCTAATAACAACTGTAATTTAAAAGCAGTGATGGATACAAGTGTTCCTAGGGATCTTGAATAGCAGCATCTGTTAAGAAAATGTCTGATTCAATCTGTTTGTGACAAAGTCACAAGTACTGTTAACACTCCTAAGGTTGTTTGCACTTAGAAAAGAAGGAATGACCAGGTTCAGCTAGTGTAATTAAGGTACAGATGAGTGCTGTATGCCACTCAAAACCATAGCCTGCCTGCCTCCTGGAATTCTAGCACAGTCTAGAGATCCTTGGCCTTTTGAAGCTTCTTCCTGCCAATGCAAGATAGGTGCATTACTGCCTGTTCTCCAGCAGGGGGAGCCATAAGCACAGCAGGTGGGAGGCGGCTGTGCTGAGAATTCAGAGCTTTCTATCATCCACTCACTGGTCCTGAGCCTATCTAATGTATCAAATTTCTGATGTGAAGTAGGCAGAGTAGAGCCTCCTGGGAACCACTGGAAGGCAAAGGCTAGCAGAGCCCAGAAGGGGTTGGTCAGAAGCAAGGGAAGGCTCAGTGGCGAAGGTGCCAATGGCTGCTGTTTTCTGCTCTGCTTGGCAGGTTCATGCAGGAGCTAACAGAGATGCTGGGCTTCCGACCCTACCGCTTCTATTTCTACATGTGGAAGTTTGTGTCTCCGTTGTTCATGGCTGTTCTCACCACAGCCAGCATCATCCAGCTGGGGGTGTCGCCACCAGGCTACAGTGCCTGGATTAAAGAGGAGGTAAGTGAGGACTCTCCAAACCCCAGAGTCACTTGCATCTTCTCAGGCCTTTAACACAGCTGATAACTGGGACAAACTTTTCTAGGACAGCTACTCTGTGACGGGTCTTGCCGGGTACCTTGTATTCCCAACGTACAGTCTTTATGGCAACCCTACAAAGTGGCGTTATTCTCTAGCATAGTGGAGAAACTGAAGTTCGGCAGAATCAGCGTACTTCTTGGATGCTCTAAGGCAGTCCCTTTTTGTGCCTGTGGGGTGGAATTACCCACCCTTTCTATACATGTAGATAATGAGGCCCCCTTTAACCAAGGTGACCCAGGTAACACTCCCTGGGGACACCATTTCTACTGCTACTTGGTCAGAGGGGAGTGGGGGGACCATGGCAAGGGTGGGAAGAGATCAGCCTGTAGGCTTGGGAGGGACATTGTCTAGAGCCTGCAGTATCCTTCCTGCTGTCAACCCATAGGCTGCTGAGCGCTACCTGTACTTCCCCAATTGGGCCATGGCGCTGCTGATCATCCTCATTGCCGTGGCAACCCTGCCCATCCCTGTGGTATTCATCCTGCGGCATTTCCACCTGCTCTCCGATGGTTCCAACACCCTCTCTGTGTCCTACAAGAAGGGCCGCATGATGAAGGACATCTCCAATCTGGAGGAGAATGATGAGACCCGCTTCATCCTTAGCAAGGTGCCCAGTGAGGCTCCCTCCCCCATGCCCACGCACCGCTCCTATCTGGGACCTGGCAGCACATCACCCCTGGAGACCAGTGGCAATCCCAATGGACGCTATGGAAGCGGCTACCTCCTGGCCAGCACCCCTGAGTCAGAGCTGTGACCACTGCTCCATCCTGCCCGCCTCCCCTCAATACCCAACCTGCCCACTTGGCTGGGCCTGGCCTCTTCCTCCATGGTAGCCACCAGACCTAAGCCAGCCCAAGGAGAGGATCTGCCCTGCCTTGTTTCCCACCCAAGTCCCAGCAGACTCCCTACCTATGAGCAGGGGGCTGGGGACAATTCCATCCCCTGTTCCAGGCCTCCAACCCATATAACTTTTTGAAAACTCTTGCCAAGTTGCAGCCATGTAACCACAACAATCCCAGTATGGGGGAACTCCAAGTGGGCACTTTAGGAGTCACTCCCCCCTCTCCCTGTAAAACCTACCACTTTTAGTTCTCAGGTCTTAGGGAGGGTCGTTTTGTGCTGCTTTCATGGTGGTGGTGGGCAGAGGCTTTGGGGCCGAGGGCACAGGAAGTAGACTTTAGCCCGGTCTACCTTAAGAACAGAACACATCATCCTGTTCAACCCAGCATGGCTGCTCCTGAGCTAAGATGGGAGATAGGGACATGCGTGTCAGGACTGGGGCTTTGGTTTGCCAGGAGGTGTATGGAAACTCCTCAGTCCTGTCTTATGAGATAGGTGGTACTCTCAGGCCTGAGCATGAATCTGGGCATTGAAAGGAATGACTCTGCAGACAGCTCGTGGAACCTTTGAAATGTCCCTGTTTCCCCTGCCAGGGGCAGATGGGATGTGTTCCTCATTCTGCCTGGGAGCATGGTGAAGGGGTCACCTTAACTGGGGCTTAGCCATTTGTCAATCCCCACTGTGGAACCTGGAGTCAGGTGTGGTGGTCTTTGCCTCTGTCCTGGAGGGAAAGAGGGCAGCACAGGTGAGGTTTCCAGAGCACAGTTTGAAGGTCACAGCACAATCTAGGTCGGAGCACAAGTGGAACTCCCTTCCACTCTCTTCTGGAGCTCCAGTTCCTCCTCAGTGGCAGCTTCTCCCCTGGAGTGGGGCTTCCTGGAGTGCAGGGCCGTGTCACCAGGAACCCTGTTTCTAGGGAAAGACAGGTAATTTCACTGCCCCTTTGGGCGGCCACTTACTCTCCCTGTTGCACAAGCACAGCCAACAGTGTGCACATTAAGTGAAGATACCTTGGAAACCTTTCCCAGACTTCCCTAGCCTGTTCCGAGAAGTGAACAGGTAATTCTGGGCAGGATGGAGGCTGTTGGGGGCTAAGAAGAAAGCCTCTGGTCTTAGGCACTGAAGGAAGATGCAGCCTCTGGCTATGTCCCTGACTTTCTTTCAAAGCTCCCCTGTAAGGACACAGGAGCTGACCTGAGACTCAGGGTGTCTCTCTGTAGTATGACCTCAGAGAGATGGTGTAGGGATATATATGGCCCACAGGCTAGAATGGATGAGTGGATGGGTGGATGGATGGATGGATGGATGGATGGATGGATGGATATATATGAAGCCGTCCCAGTCTTTGAGAGTTCTGATGGGCAGGAACAGACCTGGGCACCTTCCAGAGGTTCCTGGGTCGTTTTTGTGGCCCTGACTTCCCTCAGTACTGAGAGGGGCCGGCTAGGCCAGTGGCCCACCTTCTGCTGCTATGCTTACTGGTTGCCTCCCTTCCTAGCCTGAGAGGTCATCCCTCGAGCTCACCATCCTAGCCTGAGAGGTCATCCCTCGAGCTCACCATCCTAGCCTGAGAGGTCCATCCCTCGAGCTCAGCATCCTAGCCTGAGAGGTCATCCCTCGAGCTCACCATCCTAGCCTGAGAGGTCATCCCTCAAGCTCACCATCCTAGCCTGAGAGGTCATCCCTCGAGCTCACCATCCTAGCCTGAGAGGTCCATCCCTCGAGCTCACCATCCTAGCCTGAGAGGTCATCCCTCGAGCTCACCATCCTAGCCTGAGAGGTCATCCCTCGAGCTCACCATCCTAGCCTGAGAGGTCATCCCTCGAGCTCACCATCCTAGCCTGAGAGGTCCATCCCTCGAGCTCACCATCCTAGCCTGAGAGGTCATCCCTCGAGCTCACCATCCTAGCCTGAGAGGTCATCCCTCGAGCTCACCATCCTAGCCTGAGAGGTCCATCCCTCGAGCTCACCATCCTAGCCTGAGAGGTCATCCCTCGAGCTCACCATCCTAGCCTGAGAGGTCATCCCTCGAGCTCACCATCCTAGCCTGAGAGGTCATCCCTCGAGCTCACCATCCTAGCCTGAGAGGTCATCCCTCGAGCTCACCATCCTAGCCTGAGAGGTCATCCCTCGAGCTCACCATCCTAGCCTGAGAGGTCCATCCCTCGAGCTCGCCGTCTCTCTTGTTGCTCAGTTCCTCGCACCTTCTCTCACTTCCAGCCTTCTTGGTCCCGCCTGCCCCGGTGTTTAAGGCGAGAGGGAGTCCGTATCCTCCTAAAGAGATGAGTTTTTTAGGGCACAGCATCCCATCATCGGCCCCTCACCTGACAACACCCCCTACTTGGCCCCATGCCTAGTCCCAAGCAGAATTAGGAAACAGGAAAACCAGGCCCCAGCACACTCCACTATCTGTACTCCTCTCTATAAGCTATTTCTATTGTACATTCAATCTGTACATGTGGGTGTAAATGCTGTGAAATGACAAACCCAATATTATACTGTGGCTGGTGGACTATTTTCATCCTCAGTGCTGTACAGATCTATTTTCATTGTATATTTGATATATTTTTAATTTTGTAGCGTGGCTGGGCCAGGCCCCAGCCTGCAAGCCTGCAGTGAGTGGGGGGTGGGGCGGGGCGGGGAGCTGAGCTGGGGCTGTTTGCTTATGCATTGTGGGTGCTGTCGCGTTTGTTGTAGCCTTTTGCTGTAGGTCAGAACCTGTCCTGGCTGCATCTTTGCCGTGAGTTGGACATAGGACCCATAGTGTGTGCTCTCTCTCTGTGTGTGTATGTGTGCACGTGTGTGTGTGTGTGTGTGTGTTACATTGGTAGGTGTGGGTGCATAAGGTGCTGATCTGTGACCCCCCCCCCCGTGTTCACCACTTCCTGGAGGCCCCAGTCTTCCTCTCTGCTGTATGGGGAGGCATCAGGACAGGCACTTCTCAGAGCACTAGCTATGGGAAAGGCATGTGTTTCCTGCAGGTGACCATTGTCGTTTACACCTTTGGTGGGAAGGAGGGCCTTGGGTGGGGGGAAAACCCCATTTATTTTCCAGTAAACTTTCTGCTGTTGACACTGGAGTCACATGGTCTTCGGCAGACAGCTTTCTTAGGCTGCCGAGGCAGACGTCTCCCCTTCTGTCCTGCATTTGTCCTTGAAACAGTCCAGAGTACCCAGAAAGCAACAGCTGCTTCTTAGACCTTTGCTGGCTCCTCGGGAGAGATGAGGTGGAATCACCTGACACAGAAAATCTGGCCCCAACTTTCTGGGAGGAGCTGTCCGTGAGGGCCCGGTCTGCAAGCCTTTGTAAAGGGTCCCCACTGCCACAGGCCGGTGCTGCCCATACAGTGCCCACCAGGAGACAAGAGGTTTCAGGAGCTGAGTCAACTGAGCAGGGGCGGGGCAGGTACACCGAAGGGTCTCCTGTTCTGCCTGTGTCCCAGTCTCTTGCTCAGGGAACCCTCAGCCCCCTTCACAGAGACAGCATGATGAAGCCTGAGGCCCAGTTTGGGGATGGGGGGAAGGGCTGGAGGGAGATAGGAGACACAGAAGGAAATGCAGGTGAGGTTGGCTTCTGCCATCAAGCAATAAATTTTCAGGGGCTGCTGCTTTCTAAGTGCTAGGAAATGCCCCCAGAGGCAGCCTGGGTGAGCCCTGAGGCTGTGAGCCAGGCCCGGTGAGGGCCTGCAGTACTACAGGCTGCCCTTCTCTTCCTTACCATACTCCTCCCCCAACCAGAGTATCCCCCCCCCCCTTAAAAAGAGAAGTGAGAAGCTTGTGCTATGGGCACTGCTGGGTTCCCCCCCTAGGTCTGAAATGCGGGGAGCTGGGGGAGGAGAACCAGGGCTCATTTCTCACGAGAAGTCCTAAACACACACTGGGCAGTCACTTCAGGTCCTGGCACAGGCTCACAACAGTTAGAGTCCCTGTGTCCTGGACTGGTCAGATCCCCGAGTCAGGATACTCAGTCCATGAGAGGGGATGAGGCATTGTCACCCCAGGGCCCCCCTTCCTCTCCCCTACCCTGGTGTTCAATAAAGTGTTCTTACCACCTTCTCTTGCCTTTCTTACATGTACAGGAGCGAGGGGAGCTGAGGGAGACTTCGGGACAAACGTATGTTTTAGGATGAGGTGAGGGCAGTATTCTTGTGGATGTTGGCTGGCTGAGAGATTTGGGGATGTGTATACAGTCAGTCTCCTAGGAACTTCCCTAGGTATAAACAATGTGCACACTGTGCTTGGTCTTACTGTGTCCCAGCAACTCTGCAAACTTTGACCTGAGGGAGATGCTTGGTACCTACATTTTTCCAGGTAAGGAAAGTGAGGCTCCATCTAACACGAGGACAGGACTTTTCAGGGGCCATTCCTATCCTGCCCGGCTTCAGGATGGGGTACCAGAGGTCTGAGGGAGAACACAGGAAAGGCAGAGGCTAGACCTGGTCCTTAGGGAAGTGAGCTAGTTCACAGCAAGCGTGTTCTGAGTCCTGAGAGAGTTACATCCACTGCGGATGTCATCCTTTGGAATCTTCCGTGGAGGCTAAAGGTGAAATATAAGGTGTGAAACCCCAAGTTTTGTTACCCCACCTAATGCAGGACCGTGAAGAACAGAGCGAGCTGTTGGCACGAAGCCCCTCTTCCTGCCTCCAGTAGGAGGCAGTCTCCAGAAGAACCTCACTCTCGTCCTGATCTGGATTCTGGATCTACGCTTCCCCTTCTCAGTCTCATTCAGCTGGGTCCTCCAAAGGAACCTTCCATTTCCTTTCCCTGCCACCCATTGTTCCAAGAGCAGCCACCAGGTGGCAGGAACCCCTTTCCGTCCACGTGTTAGCCTGGGAACCGTCCTCTTCAGCTGTCACTGTGTGGGGTATTCACTGAACAGGCAGTAAGAACACACGATGGGCAGACAATGTTAGCCACAGACAGCCCCCAAACAGGCAAATCAGCGCCCAGGGCCCTGAGTTTGGCCAAGGAGGCACCTCTTTGTCCCATCAAGTCCTCCTACTTCTCTCTCAAACAAGGGAATGTCCCAGTGCTGGACAAATCATTCCTTATACAGCTTCTCAATCTTTTGGTAAATTTGGTTGAAATGGCAGCCATCCCTCCAGGAGGGGTACATAGACACCAAAACACAAAATAATAAGGGCCTCATGGCAATGGAGCTCTGAAGGCAACTCCTCAAAGTCAAGTTTAGATTCAAGTGTCAGGTGGGTTTTGTGTTTCCTGGGAGGCTTTAGCTTTAGGCTAGTTACTTAATTTCTTTGCCCCTACATTTTCTAGTTCGGAGCAGGGAAGGGGGAAAGGAAAGGGAGAAAGGGAGAGGGGGAGAATAGTTTGAAAGAGATAGCACACCCCGAATCAATTATCTCTTGCAGTGTTTCAAATCAGTCCAAATTTTAAAACAACCATTATATCATACCTCATGTGAATCAGGAATTCCACCACAGACTAGGGCAGTAGATCGGTGGAAACCAGGGTGGTATTCAGTTGGTAGAAGAGCTGGTCTGGAAGTCCCAATGGAGCCTTTCTCAGGTTCATTCAAATATCTAATTCTTGGGTGAAAATGAGTAGGAGTGGGGTTCAGCTGGGCCTACTGGTCAGAGTGACTTTCTGCAACTGACCTTTTTGTTTTTTTGTTTTTTGTTTTTTGTTGTTTTTTTTTTTTTGAGACAGGGTTTCTCTGCGAAACAGTCCTGGCTGTCCTATCACTCACTATGTAGACTAGGCTGGCCTCGAACTCAGAGATCCACCTGCCTCTGCCTCCTGAGTGCTGGGATTAAAGACATGCACCACCACACCCAGCTGCTACTGACCTTTCTAACAGTTCATTTCTAGTGACAAAGTTCTTACCTGATGACTCAAAGTGCCTAGGGAAACTATTTCAAGAGTAGAAAACTGGAAAGTAAGTGGGCAGCTGTCCATTTCTTAAGGCCTGGGCTTGGGAATATATCACTTCTACCATAGTCTACGGGTCATAGCATAACCCAGACCTCACTGTAGGTTGGAAAGGGAAAGGTGCCCATATAATAAACCCATTCTGGGGCATTGGAGGTCTCCATCGTGGAAGCTTTTCTTGAGAAGATGTCAGCTTTGAAGCCCAGAGCCAAGACACCCAGGAATCTCTTCTAATGAGGAGATGAGCAGCTAAATTCGGGCCTGAATGGAGGCAATAGGTAGGGGAGAGGATAATAAGGACATGCTAAAGGACTCAAGAGACAGCCTCTGCCCCCATTTCACCCCAGGGGCAGGCAGTGTGAGGTTGTTTCAATCATGAGTCTGTCACCTACTTAACCTTCTGAACCTGTATGACAATAAAATCTCTTCCTTGAAGTGCTGGAAGGAATAAATGAACTCCCGAGGTACCCGGTGAAACCTAGTATGGAAGTTTTTCCATAGGGGAAATCTAATATATGATAATTATTACTCCTATCTCTCTTCCACCCCTGGGTGAGCACATCCATCCTGTTTCGCCCATGCAATGAACCAGCATCCTGGGACAATTGTTAGAAGACTGTCTCAGACTAACCCTGGAAGAAGCCAAGGAAGGAAAGAGAAGGGTCCCTTACCAGAAAAGCAGGTGCTCACTAATCCCATCCCTGTCCTGTTTCCTTTGTAGCCACAACCAGACAGAGAACCTCATCCAGCCTTAGCCACAGGCATGGGCTGAAGAATTCTATAAATTCCAGGAATGTGGTGTTTTGTTGTTGGTGAATTTTCAAAGGCACCCCCATTCTTTAAGCCTCTCCCAGTAAGAAGATTCTCTGCTTTTCTCCCTTGAACCTGGGCAAGCAAATCCCTCCTCTGACCAGCAGAAAATGGAGGAAGTAATGCTATGTGACTTGTAGGGGTGGCTACATCAACAAGGGCAGTGCCACTTCCTCTATGGTTCCTGGGGGAGTTAACTGCTTTGTGAGGTAGCCCAGGTACCTGAGACAGAAGCTCCACATTTGGGCTTCTGTGGACTGCTTCAGCTGAGCTCTTAGCTGATGGCCTGTATCAAACTACCAGCCGTGTGAATGTGCCATATTAAACATGCAGCCCAGGGGCCTCATATGTTTGCAGTACCAATGGATGGGTGGTTGCAACTGATGAGTTCCAAGTACTGCTCAACTGAGCCCTTCCTAACTTCCTGACCCATAAAATAATGATCGGAAGAAAATGACTGTTAAACTTACATTTTAGTGTCAATTCATTTCACAGTGAAAAATAACCAGGAAGTGAATCTGAGGGCTGATTTGACCTAATCACCTCCGTATAACAGTTGAGGAAACAGGCCAGGGGTAAGAATTCCTACAACCAAGCAGAGGGGAGACTATGGCCAAAACCTGGTTTTCTGACTTCCAATCCAGGGTATTGTCTACCGTACTGCAGGGTCCCTATGGAAAGGACCCCAACCATCTCTATTCTCACCTTCCTCATTAATCCCTTGCCTCGAGTATGATGCAGGTATTCAGAGTACCTAGGATTGTACTAAACACCGGGAGTCTACATAAAGGCTCAGGTCAGGCAGAGTTCCTGGTCCTGTACAAGCGATTACAATGAGACTTGGTGTATTCACCTCCTGGTGGCGCCATGCTCACCAGCTTAGGTGGGAAAGAACCTGGGAGATGCGGAGAAGACAAATTAGTCAACAAAAAAGTCATCAATAAGATTATTCCATGTAGGCCACGTGCGAGCTGCAAAGCAGAAAGGCCTGATAGGGGTTTGCTCTTGGAGTCCCAGGATCCTGGTTGGCAGGATAATGTCTTCCCTCACGTCCAGAGCTAACATAAGAAGAGCCAGATGCTTGAGCTACTTGACAAACTCACAAGAGCCTGGGTTTGAGATGCCTCTCCAGACAGCTGCTCCCCTTTCTCCAGGACTGCTGGAGGGGATCAGACCCATCAGTACTAATTAATTACTCTACTGGAATGAGCCTGTTTTTTTGGAACTTATCCCAGGTAGGACGAATCTGTACTTTTCTAGATGGAGAAATGGTGAGTGCCAAGGAGTCATGCCAGCTGGGCCCTTCCTCTCTCTCCCTCTCTCCTTCTCCCTCTCCCTCCCTCCCTCTCTCTCTCTCTCTCTCTCTCTCTCTCTCTCTCTCTCTCTCTCTCTCTCTGTGTGTGTGTGTGTGTGTGTGTGTGTATGTGTGTGTATACTGTGTATACTCTCCTCAACCCCAACTGCCTCCTAGAACCCAACATCAACAGCCTTGAAGGAAAAACCACCTGTAGGGGTCCCTTGACTGGCTCTGCCTCTGTGGTTTTCATGAACACTGTCCTAAACATGAGCCTGCATGTTTTCTCTGTTCTTGGCCCAAACCCAGCCGTAGCGCCATCTCCAAGGTCCACTGCTGCTGCATGGGCCTGAAATCCCTCATCAGGAACATGCCCATGAGATAGCACCAGATCTCCCCCAGCCCTGAGACTCTAAGCCTCTGTTTCCCCAGTCTTGAGTTCTGACCAAGCCGAGCTTGTGATCTGCACCTTTTGGGGTCTCTTCCTCTTAAGAGCTGGAAAGGCATCAAAGGGCATCTGGAATCCCTGAGGTTTTAGAGCAATACAACCCTGCCGGCAGCTCTTGTCAGCCAGTGCAGCCGACCTCCACATTGCCTATAGTGCTCTGGGCCACTGTCTTAGTACATTCTTTCTAGAACCATCCTGGGACAGCTCTCACATTTGATTTGGAGCCCGGGAGGCTGGGGTGAGAATGGAAGGATAAAATAGCTGTTGAGCAAACAGGTTCCCAGTCTTCTCTTGCCCACCGTCCTCACCCTACACAGAATACCAGGCCTACCACAAGTGTCTGGTGATGAGGTCTGATAAAACAATTCAATTTGCTGGGCTAAGAGAGAACAGGGCATGCTGGGAAAGGATGCTGGCTCCTTGGCCTGGATCTGAAGAAGGAAGGGTTGGTCCCTGATAGGATTGGGAAGGTTAAGAAAGAGATGTGAGTATCAAAGGTAATAACTTTGCCCTGATAGTCACAGGCCAGATCCTTGGCCTGGAGCCTCTCAGCAAATGGGATCCCAAAGGAGCATGGAGAAGTGATCAGATAGCTCCTGTCACCCCAAGAAG